AAATCAACGACATATTTACTCGATTCAATGCTCCCAATAACTGATCCATTTTCTCGGGAAAATTTGCAACTGAATCAAAGTATTCTTGTCGTATCGATGTATCATGCTTTTCATCGTCATCCTGTTCTTTCAAACCTATTCACATTAATCTTTAGTGACTTTGTTTCACATTCATTCGACTCTTACCTGTCCATTGCAAGAATCGATTCAGGATAAATGAGTAGACGTGTTCAACATCACCTGCATTTTGATTGGCTCTCTTAAAGCTTTGATTAACAATCGATAAGAACATTGACATGCAAGTGAACACCACCACAAACACGAACAAACTAAAACAAAACGGTGCAAGGAAAGCAGCTGCATCCAGCAATGCATCACCATCAAACTGCATCAATGTCATCTCAAACAACATCTGTGTTGTTCCCAGAAATGTTGCACATGCTGCAAGTTTCGACACAAATAACAGATAGAACAGGAAGTTGAACGATAAAAACACCACCGAAAACATCAACGAAAACGGAATCAACTCTCGTACAGCTATCCGAAGTGTTTCGATGAACAAATAAACTCGATAGTTATATCGACACAAACGAATGAACTTGATCGTACCAAAGAAACAACTGAAACTGAATGCACATCTCAACACCTCATTGATGTATGTTAACAACTGCAGATTGATGTATGTATACCCATTAGTCTCAGCAAACACTTGACCAATACGACTATATTCAACATATCGCCACACATACATCGCCACACCCACCCATGAACAAATAATAACACCAAAATCGAGCAGTGACCAGAACTGAGTGAATGCTTGCCATTTCAACTGAACTTGTTTCACCATCAGATACACTATGAACAGTATGTAAACAATCAAACAGATCAATTGACTCAACGATGTGAATGCTAAAACAATAAGGATCACATAGGTGAACAACCATTCGTCGATCGAAAAAGAGAAAGCAAACTTACCATAGAACTGAATAGGTTCGATCGTTGATTGTGTGACAACTCCACCGGTAGAGAGAAACTCAGTGAGCAGAATAATCGAAGTGAATAGCTGAGCATTGGGATTGTATAAACTCAACTGGATGATCACTGCTCGTGTTTGATCATCGATCCATTGATATTCGTGAAGTTTTGTCAGATTCATCCGAATATCAGCTAGTCGACCACGAAACTCATACNACTTACCATAGAACTGAATAGGTTCGATCGTTGATTGTGTGACAACTCCACCGGTAGAGAGAAACTCAGTGAGCAGAATAATCGAAGTGAATAGCTGAGCATTGGGATTGTATAAACTCAACTGGATGATCACTGCTCGTGTTTGATCATCGATCCATTGATATTCGTGAAGTTTTGTCAAATTCATCCGAATATCAGCTAATCGACCACGAAACTCATACACATATCCACCATCACCATATCGACCGAATCTTCCACTGATGGGATAGGTATCCAAGACATCCTTGGATTTATATTGAAATGCTTGACTAAATATAGAATCCGAGCTGCTGGTTTGCGTTCGATTGATCCATCCAAGATCGAATGAGTTGGTTTGTTCAGTTTGAGAACTGTAATCATACTGACAGACGAAGTGGAGATTTCGCATGGGTGAACATGGATCAGTTTTGACACGCACTTGTCGCATAGTGATCCAACCGAGCAGCCGATTCGTTTTATCATTCATGAAACCACTGAGATTTCGAGGTGGCTCACGATTATACCATTGTTGTGCACGAATATTCTCAACAAAACTCTCTTCCAGCCATGACCAAAAGTCGGCCTGGCTCGATATCTACATGACACTTCGTCAACTATGTCTATCGAATAGAAGTGAATACACAAACAAACCTGCTGATAGTCGAGATCTGGTTGTCGTGGATTGCAGAGATATTTTCGCAGATGATCCACTTGGAGGAATGAGTTGAGTTGAGTTTGAGAATAGATGAGAACTGAGAGAGTGGAGAAGAAGATGAGATAGACGAGTGCTTCTCGAAGGATCGACCACATCTGCATTTCTTTCAGTCGGCGATCACGTGCTGATGCCACTTCTGCATCAGTCAGTCGTGCATGTCCGATTGTTGAACGAGAGTCAACCAGCGATAGATTGTTCTCGTGCAGATATTCTTCATCTCGCTCCAAATGCAATTCGTTCTCATCCAGATATTCCATGGCTTCTTGATCATCGTGCGATTTTCGACAGAAGAATGCAAACACGACCACCAATGCCACAATCTACAATACAAATGTCAACATCATCTTTGACTTATGTTCTCAATGTTCACACATTACCTTCAGTGGCTGAGTCAACAGGACCGAGGAGAGAAAACCACTGAGAATGGACACTAGCCATTTCTGTGTTTTCACATCACCAAACTCAATACCACGAACGATAAGAAAGAACATCGAGGTTGCGACCAATAGGAAGCACAGGCCATATGCGATGAATATAAACCACCAGGGAAATGTGAATGTCTGTTTCGTCTTCGATTTGACTTGTTGTTTTGCTAGCGACGGACTGATTTCGTACAAGATCTTTCGTAATGGCGAAAGTGACTTGTGACGAGAGCGAAGTCGTCGGAAGATCTGTATGAGTAAAAGACTTGGAATCAGTGAGAACACTTCTACAATCACACCAATGATGATCTAAATGCATGCACAGTGTCATCTCCAACAAAATCATCGACTAGTGTCGCTTCTCTACCTGTTCGAATGAGATGTTCGCACTCATTTTGCCTTCGTTTTGCAAGTCATAGTACATGATGTTCAAGAACATTGACACAAGCAAGAGAACAAAGCAACAGGTACATCGTTGAACACGTGTGAACTGATTCGAAGGTGGCCGAGAAAAGATCGAGAACCATAGATGACCATCCGATACACTGTGGTATGCCTTCTTCGACAAGACATACGAAAAGTCACTCTTCTCTGCTGCACCAGCTACCGGCAACACATGTTCGATCTAACATCGCAATGTAAAAGAATGATTAGATATATTCAAAGTCACATCCCTCTACCTTTCCATCAGCTTTTTCCACAGCAAACCATCGTTGTGCAATGAAGTGGAACTTCTCCATGGTCTGTAGATCGCGAACAATGACATACTTCAGAAACCATGATGCCGAACTTTTGCCAGTGTTGTCATGCCAAATACGAATACAGTTCAGCAGACCCAGTGACTTTGGCACTGACATGATGAAAGCATCGATACCACCACGTTGCAGAACTCGACGATGTGGATCAGCCAGTGTTCGAACTGATGTCTCATCATCCAGACCATACAAGATGAAATGCACATTCGACTTCGTTCCTGCATCGTTGCGCTGACCAGTGAAAACAATGATCTGATAGTAATACTCATCGGATGGATGATTGTCAGGCAAGGGCGTCACTCCTAGTTTTTGCAAGTCTTTCTTGTCATAGTGACGAGCATAGATGATCAGTAGCACATAGATCACCGATACACAAATGATCGTCAAGTAAATAGTCTTATTGCGAGCGAAATCCGCATTTGCAAACACATACTGCCAGTTGACTGGCTGAGGTAGAACATTGAAACTGCCTGTGAATTTGGTCAAATGTTTTGCATAACATTGTGTTTGATAGTGATTAGTCAATGATCCAACGACTAATCCATCTGCTCTCCATTCGTTGCCTCTGTCGAGATAGTAACAACCAGAAGTGTACATTCGTATCTCATAGTTCGATGTGAAGTTGTACACTTCATCAGTTATGGGTGGTTGATTGAGAGTCGATGAGCGCAAACAATCACTAGCAGAATCAAGTTCTCGGAGACCAATGACCAACGAACGATGACCCACTGTTTGTTCATTGTCATAGAAGTATCTGTACACACTGTCATTTGTCAAAGCAGATGGACAAAGAAGTGTCCATCCGTCGATTTGACTCATGGAGCTGTTCAGCTGTGGTATGCCATCGAATCGATAGATTAACAAATAGGACACATTCACATTCAATGGTTGAATCTCCAGGTGAACCGATATTGGAAGAGAAGTGGTGATATTAACATAGTGAGAATAGAACAGTTGATGATGAGAGTCATCAGTGGAGTTGACAGAAGTGACATTGTACAAGATCATCGATGGCATGACAAGATTTGGATCTCGAGGAATGATGATTTCGATGGAAGTGTTATCAGTTGTTTTCATGGGGATTTCTTGTCCGTCGTCATCGAGAATGGTCAGTGAGATCGATGTGGAAAGATTGGTGTTCGACTGAGATTGACCAGCAGGTGAGAGTGGTTCCATCAGTAGCTACAAACACCAAACTCACATTATCGGGAATCAATTCGAGATAGAAGATGAACTTTACTCGAATGGAAACTGTCTGATTGTTGTTGACACTGATTGGCAGTGTCGATGGAAGATTGATGTGTGCATTTGCAGGTGCTCTCATTTGTTTNGTTGAGAATCCTGGAACAGAAACAGTGAGAGTGAAGTTATAGATTCCATATGGAAGTGTGTTTGGAGGGATATAGAGTTCGGTGTATTTTGTGTTGACGGCGGGATTGGATGGCATGGTATGTGTGCATGATGTGTTTGAACAGGTTTTGATTGTCCATAGAGTTGTCATGACGAATGGTTGATCACAATTGAAGTCGATAAGCGAAACGATGGAGACATGATGACTTCGACGATACTGAAGTGGTGATGTTGTGGATGATGCGTTGGGAGTAAGCGTGACATTTGGAGCGGAACAACCTAGAATGCATTATTTGTATTCATATCTCCTATACTACGACCATGACTACTTTGATTCGATGCTACCGCATTCGTTGCTGTCGCTATCCATCTGTTTTGGTCTAGAAAGAAGATGTAAGAGCAAATTAATTTCAGATTTAATAGAACATTTCTATAAGTAGCTTTGTTTGTTTGTTGCTTTCATTAGTAATGGACTTAATCAATTGAAAAGCTATTTTCTACTGTGTGTCCATATGATCAAAAAATTAATGTTTAGGTTGTCGATATGATATCAAGCTTTTAGCGCTTACTGCATGAGGTTTTTGATAAAGGGAAAATTTGGATGCGATCGTATCCTGTATCCACGATAAATATATTTCCACAACTGTCAAAACCCATGCTACCCGGTTGCGAAACTTGTTTCCACCAATTCCACCAGCCACGACTGGAACATCCGACTATGCATCGAAAACCAGTTGGTCCTGACCCAACTATCCGATTATTACCAGCGTCCACAATAAATAAATAATTGTTAGCATCGAGTACAACTCCGGTTGGATTATTCAGTTTGATTGTAATATTGTTTGAAGTTTTTCCTGCAACTGTTATTCCTTCCGTTTGACCTAGCCGAAAAAGTTGTATTCGATCATTTCCAGAATCAGCCACATATAAAGCAAAGTTATCACTGACAAAGATTCCACAGGGGGCAGCGAATCGATCCGAAGATGAGCCCTGCATACCGTGGATACTTCCGGCTACTGTTGTTGCTATCATTGTACTATCACCTAACCATTTTTTCACAATTCGATTCTCGGTGAAGAGTGAACAATATATCGTATTGCTTTTATCAATAAATAAACCAAAACAAGATGAATTAATAGACATGACCGGAATGCTAGTATTTGTGTCCATGGACCATCTACTAACGAAGCCATTTGAAGTGCCATTATCAATGTAAATATCACCATTATTCGTAACGAATATAGAATTTACATTGAAGAAGTTTCCCGATATGGTGCGTGTCAGGCTGATGCTGCTGTTAAACCATATTTGAAGTCGACCGTTTTGTGTATCAATAATATACACTGAGTTGTTTGCATCAATAAAAATGTTCGACTGATGTTGTCCGATCATGTTTTTACTAGTAAATGTGATTGCATTTCGGTCCCAAGTGGTATCTGCAGATAGTTGTGGTTGGTTATATGATTTCACTGAAAGATGGAGAAAGATTAGAGATCAAAGCATGTCAGAAAGATCAGAAATGATCATTTAACAGAAGATACCCAATATCATATGTTTTTTAGTTTACTCTTTCTCATCACGATACAATTTTGATGTTGACTTTTGATCTTAAATAGGAATTTCTCACCTCTTACTATTTGCTTCTCATTTTATTCACTATTCTGAATAGGCTTAGAATCTTGCCGAAATCGACATGTATCGGTGATTGTCGTTAGATTTCAACAATTCTTACCTCCAGTATTATTCAATAAAGTGTATTTCAAAATGCGATAGCTGTTCCATTCATTCGCGTATAGATTCCCGTGACTATCAAAAACCAGATTCCACGGGCCTTTAAGCTGGTTAATTGCCGTGCCTTGCACACGAGTGCACCCAACGATGCATCGAAAACCATTTGGTCCTGATCCAACTATTCGATTATACGAGTTATCCGTTACGAATAGATAACTGTCAGCGTCTAGTATGACGGCATTTGGACCTTGAAGTATAATTGTCACATTTATTGACGAATTCCCTGCAACTGTTACTCCACTAGATTGACCAGGTCGAAAAAGTTGAATTCTATTATTTCCATAATCAGCTACATATAAATCAAAATCAATAGTGACAAAGATTCCACCAGGACTGTTAAGCTGATTCAATCCAGATCCATTTGATCCATTCCCAGCAATCGTTATCACTGCCGATGCATTGCTACCTAACCACTGCTTCACAATTTGATGGGCAAGATAAAGTGAACAATACAACATGTTATTGGTATCAATGAACAGACCATAACATCCTGAACTAGTAGACATCACAAGACTACTACCATTTGAATTCTGTGACCATCTACGAGCTTGATTATTCGCAGTATAATCACTAATGTACATGTCACCACTGGTTGTTCCAAAGATGCACATAGGTT